TAAACTTTCATACATTTAATTTAAATTTACAGTTATATATATTTTTTTCTGTGGAGTCCATTTATTTATATATTTTTAACTTAACATTTTTTTAAACCGTCTTATTGTATTTGCATTTTTTTTGTATGTTACCTCTCCATAAGTGATCCCTGTGGATCCAGGAGTTTTATTTTATTGTTTCACATTTTATTTATTTGTGTTCGATAAAGAAAAAAAAAAAATTAATTCAAAACAAAATCAGAATTAATTCAAAACAAAATCAGAATTAATTCAAAACAAAATCAGAATTAATTCAAAACAAAATCAGAATTAATTCAAAACAAAATCAGAATTAATTCAAAACAAAATCAGAATTAATTCAAAACAAAATCAGAATTAATTCAAAACAAAATCAGAATTAATTCAAAACAAAATCAGAATTAATTCAAAACAAAATCAGAATTAATTCAAAACAAAACATAAATTTATAGAAACATGAAAACAAGCTTTAAACGCTATGTATATGTATTTTCAATTATGATGCCGGCTGTTTTGCTTTATAATCTGATTTTTATTTTATTCGCGGCGTATGATGGAGCAATTAAAGAGTTCGATGTATTTAACAAAACTTTGCCTTTTGTTTCTACTAAAGTAAAGGTATCAGAATTATTTTATCGTCGATTTTTGGTCACTGATATTTATTTTTCCTGTTAATTCTCCAAAATCTCTGGGAAATCGGGTCCTGTCTTTTAACAGTTTAACAACCTACTTCCAATGTAATTTATTATTAAATGAAAGGACGTGTCAGCATTAATTGTAACATTTCTTATACTACTTCCATTTGTTATAATTTTTATTTGTGGCTTTAAAATGGTTTATTATGTTAAATTACATACTGGATTTGATCAAAATATGAAGAGATTGCTTGAACAATTGACAAAAACTTTGATAATTTTGGTAGATTATTTAATTTTGAATATAATCTTATTTAAATTTAAGGTAATTATTCCATTCACTAATCAATTATTAACTATATTATCTATTTTCATTACATTGAATAAAACAAATGTTTCGGCCACTGATAATGATATAAATCCACTTTATATATTTCTTGCAATTTTCACTCATTTTACCCCTGTTTTTAACCCTATTGTTTGTATAATAACTAATAAGCCATTCAAAGATGCTGTTTTTAATAGTTTAAAAATACATCCACAATGATTGCTGTATTTTATATTATTGTAGTGAATTAAAAGGATAAATAAAACTGCTAAGATCTTATTTTATATTTTTAAACATAAACAACCTTTTTGTGGTTGATTTAATTTCACCAAAAAACTAAATTTAACATAGCTATCATTTTACATAGTTTAAAAATTTTATAAAGCTTTATGACTAGTATGCGGCAAAATCGCATTTTCGGGATCCCGTAACGGGATTTTTTTCAAAATTTTTTACGGTACGGGATCCCGCGGGATTAATCCCGTAATCCCGATAATCCCGTTCTAAAATTTAGCGGGATCCCGCGGGATTTCGGGATTTTCACATAAAAATTTTTACGTAATAGATATCGGTGAGATCAGAGGATTTGAAGGGATTAAGGGAGTTAAAAAATATCTGGGGATATTTGTGATGATATGTGTTATAAGAGGATTTTGAGTGATATCGGAGGATTTATGGAGAGTTGGAGGATAAGCCGGATTCGGAGGATTAAGGGGGATCTGTAGATCAAGGAAAGTCCCGCTCTGAGTTGGCGGCACTCACCTGGCCCCAACCGAAAGTTGGATGGATTAAGGATATCGGTACCTTCGAATATCTCGCTACCTTCACAAATCCTTTTATATCCTCCTAATCCTTCTAAACCTTTTCAAATTTACCGAATCTCTTTTAATCACGCCCACATTCCTCTAAATATATTTCCTATAATCCCTCCACATACCCTGATGTGACCTTAGTCCACCTAAATCCCTCGATATCTTTGTCGAAGAATTTGGTCTAAGATTCCGGCATAACTCTCTATCTCTACTACGATATTTTTTAACGAAGTATGCGATAATTTTTGAGTTTTATAAAGTCATGCCAACAAAAATCCTCTCTTTCAGCGCTGCAGGCGAAAATTTTGAGAATTTTGCAGCTCAAGAAGCCAAATTTCTTCCTCTTTCAGCGCCGCAGGCGCTGAAAAACAACAATATTAAAAATCCCGTAAATTGTAAAAAAATTCACAGGATCCCGTAACGGGATTTTTTTCAAAAATTTCTTCGGGACGGGATCCCGCGGGATTAATCCCGTAAATCCCGATAATCCCGTTCGTCGCTTAAAAATCGGGATTTTGGGATGGGATCCCGCAAAATCCCGAACGGGATCCCGTCCCGTGCCGCACACTATTTATGACTATCGTTGGTGGGTAACCGAGAAATATAAAAGTTAAAAAGTTTGTATGAAACAAAATATAAAAAATAAAATAGGTAAATACTAGAGTTTCACCGGACGGTTCCGAAAAGTTCCTGCGTTTTTTTTAGTTCCAGAGCTGGATCTCAAATTGGATCCAGTTCCTCCTCCGGTTTACAAATCGGTTCCGGGCTAACCAGAACTTTTTTACACCATTAAAAATTTGTTTTTTTAATATGGGTTGGTCTGTCAAACATCCCTAATTCCAATCAGGGGTGAGTGCATTGCGTTTTGCGTTATTTGCGTTAAATTTTGGCCTTGCGTTGCGTTTTGCGTTATTTTTGATGAAATTAACGCAAAAAAACACAAAAAATATACCCAATCTGAGGGCAAAAGTGGTGAGATCTGGCTTCATGTCTTTCCAAAATTTTTAAAATTTTTGCCTTGGCGCAGGAAAAGGAAGAAATTTATCTACTTAGCCTTCCAAAATTCTCAAAATTTTCGCCTGCGGCGCAGGAAATTATGTCGATCAAGTATAGTTAAGGGAAAGATCACTTGATCTGAAGGGATAGAAGAATATTGGTCGAATTACTGGTATTACGTTTGATTTAAAAAAATGATAGGTCCCTCCTATATTCTCAAATCCATAGTATCCTTTTAATCTGAGGGGAAAAATTGAGGAAATCTGGCTCAAGGCCTCCAAATTTCACAAAATTTTCGCATGCGGCGCTAAAAGTAAAGTATTTAAATACAAAGTTCCATCATGGAACGGCTCAGAAAAATATCGGTTAAGTATCTGGATTTCAACTCCCTTTATCCCCCCCCCCCCGAATCCCCTAATATCCTCGGTATCAATTCATAACTAAGATAGCTCTTATCCTACGCTATCTCTCCAACTCACCCGAATCCTTCGATAATTACATGGCATCTTTTTAAATCTCCTTAATCCCTCCAAAATACATGATAATCTCCGTAATCCCCTGCTTCTTCGTTAAACCCTCTTGATCCCTCTAACCTTCATAATCCCTTGTACCCAGAATAACTCTCCAAATCATTATCCAACCACCTTATATTGTATCACAAAGTCGAGTAAGAAATGCTGACTTATATTAATACTTCAGTTTTTAACTGATAAATAACTAATACTTGATTAAAATTTTTTCCCTATTTTTGCGCTCTTGCGTTTTGCATTATTTGCGTTAATTTTTGGCCTTGCGTTGCGTTTTGCGTTTTTTGTGATTGTCTCTTGCGCTCATCCCTGATTCCAATTCAAGACTTCCACAACTCCTTCAAAACCTTTGGATAATTTTTAGATTCCTCCCAAACATTTTGGAATGTGCGGCAAAGAGTGGAAACAAGGTGGCATGGATAACTACTTCCGCAGGCGAAAATTTTAAAAATTTAAAAGTCATAGTACATAGAATTTATTTATTTTAAAATATGACAAACTTTTTTGTTAAAAAATAAGTTTATAATAATTTATTTTCCAAAGAAAAACTAGTACCTAGTCTTTCAATAATTCCAGTTCAAACCTAATACCCAGATAAGTCCTCAAAACAATGAACCCAACATACTATCCAGTCACCCACACATACTTTCGAAAGATCAGGAAAGAAAATCTTATTCTGGTAATGAATAATCTAGAAATTTAAGGAATTAAGGTCTATTCGGAGATTGAATTCTTCCGTTGATTGGAATTTTTCATGGTAGAGCTAGACTTCCACAAAAAATAAGAGCATGAGAAGAAGAAGGAAAAAATGGGCAGAAATAATGGTTACAAGACTGAGTTACAAGGCAGTACGCAGTTGTGTATTTTGGCTCTCAAAATTTTTGCCTGCGGCGCATTAAATCAACTTATATAGATTTTCAGTTCCGGGTTACGGTTCCAATTAATTACCAAAAACAAAGATTTAACTGTTCAGGTTTGGTTAAACGTCCGCAAACAGACTTAATTTAGAGTTTAAACATTTTTATCATTATATTTTCGATACTAATAATTAGGGTGTTTCAAAACATGAAAATGCATATTTTGTATGCGGATATGCCATGAGCTGAAACGCTCAAAAATGGTGTTTTTACATCGGTACTAACATTAGGGACCGGGTTCCTACAGCATATTTTTGCATATTTCGGTACTTTCGAGCATATTTGCATATCGATGCATATTTTGGGAAATTTTGCATATTTTTACCAAAATTTGTGCATACTTTGGCATTTTTTGAGAAATTTTAGTAAAAATCGGGCAAAATTTTCAAAATTTTATAATTTTTTAGGCAAAAAATTTTTAATAAAAATTTGTTGAAAAATTTTTTTCGAAAAAATTGTCGCGATAAATTTTTTTCAAAAATATTTTTTTGGTTGAATTTTAAGTTCATAAAATCTTTTAAAAGTGCTCTTAAACATCAAGTTAAATGCTAATTGAATATTTTTTATTTGAAATATTGATTTTTAAACCACATTTTTACTGTTTTTTGCCGCATATCTAGTGCATATTTTGGGAAATTTTGCTTATTTTAGTGCATATTTAGTGATTTTTCGGTGCATATACATGCGCATATTTTTAAATTTTTCGTGCATATTTTGAAACACCCTACTAATAATTCATATTAATTCAAAATTAATTTCATCTTCATTCAAAACTCCCCCAAAATATCTAAATCATCTTCCTCAATTTCAAACTGTTTGTTATCAACACTACTCTTCCCCTCATTTTTCTTCTGTGCTTTTTCAATATCCCAAGCTTCGCGGATTGCCTTTAAAACTTCCTTTTCAATTTTATTTTCGTTATATTCCTTTATTGTTTCAGTAGCTATTTCACGTGCTTTTATTTGATAAGAATTACTTTTTTCATTAATTTTTTCTTGCTCCTTTATTATATACTCAGTATTTGCTACTGTAGCCTCAATACCCATTGGGTCTTTTATAGTTCCATAAAGTTGAATCTCTTTCATGTCTATATTTGAAAGATACTTTTGACTGCATTTTTCTTCTGAAATTTTATATAATTTTACCTTTTGTATGTTTATTCAATTTGGAGGGATCTCTTTATCATCTCGAATTAAGTCCAATTATATCTCTCTTAATCCTTTTATTTTTATTAACTATAATAATAACTAGAGTCCAAATTTTTTACAGTACCGTATTCCGTACCGTATTGCCGATACCTATAAATACCGATCAACTTCAAAATTTTATCCACCGTATTCCGAACCGTATTATTATACGGAATGCCAATAAATAGCAGTGGGTAATAAATACCGTGGGCTACTCTGAGAAAAACACAATGCTTACCCATTTTTTACTTACCCATTTCTTTAACTTCTCCCCCAAGATTGCACAAATAAGCAGCTATAGCAATTAAAGCGATAGTTCCATAACCTTTTCTTTCTTTTTCGAGAAAAATATGATCCTCAAGAAAACTGAAAAGTTTTTTGACAATTTTTTGAATTAATTCATCAAAATCCTCAATTTCTGGTTTTGATTTACCTCTCAATGCATCCTTTACTTTTCCGATCTTTTTTGAGCTTGAACTCTTTTCAAGCCTTTTTTTACCGAAAAATATTGAAACTGCATGGGTATATTTGTTATAATCCAAGAGTTTATCAAGATCAGTCAATTCATCTGTTTTGACGTGGAAAGGGCCTAAATGAAAAGAATTGGCAAGTATATCAAGATGGGCCATATTAAGCAAAATCAGATACCCAACCTTTTTTAGACCAACACAAAATTAAATCTGCAGAAATTTCGGAAACATTTTTTATTTAAAAGGAAGGAATTGGCTTCTTAGTTGGCCAAAATTTTACAAATTTCGCTAGCAGCGTTAAAAGTTACCCATTTTTCTTCTAGTAAGGATCTTTTAAATAGAAAAATCACCCTTAAAATAGGTGCCAAAATATCTTTTATTTATTGGATACATTACTAGAGTGCGGATCTTATTAAAGTAAAACTCATTTTTGGTAAATTTTTGCATTTTTTGTCAATATTTTGTTAATTTATTTCAATATTTTAAGCCCATATTTTGCGATTTTATTTCAATTTAAATCCGCTACCTATTCATGATAATCATTTTAATTATTATTCAGAGCAAGCTTTTTTATAGGGTAATTTTCATAGAAATTCGGTATATTTCACTGTGCCTAAGAAAAACAAATAATTTACCATCATATTTCTTAGAAAAATGTTTCTCAGTTTCATAATTCAAAATCCACGGTTCGACTTGCAAACTTTTCCATTCTTGATTATTTGCAAATCCCAAATGTCTTTTGATTCTTTCAATAAATTCATAAATTATTTCAATTCTCCAATCAACATAAGCATCAACTAAATTACTATTTGAAGTACTTCCTTTGTGCCAATCTTCTTTAACTTCAATAATTTCATCCAAATCTTCTTCATAAATTTTTTTCTTCCCTTTCCCAACATAAGTTTGATTTTCCAACGTTTTTTCGGATTCTTTCAGAAAATATTTTTTTATATCTCTGTTATTCAATGGACCTTCGAAATATTGGACTAGCACAGAAAACAGGGAAAGATCAGCTTTAGTTAATTCACTGCCAAATAGATATGCTCCAGTTAAAAGTAACCTTTCAGCAATTATTGACAATTGGTTGTCGAATAATTCAGAGGAATGATTGAGAGATATTTTAGATAAATATTGTTTTATCTATAAATTATTTTCATTAAATGTTAATTTATGTATTGCTATCCACAAAATTCCCTGATATCTCCCACTCAAACCCTAATCAATCGATATCCCTCCAAATAATTGATATACTTTGATACTGCCCTTAATCCTTCAAAATCCCCTATATCATATATACAGTTTTATACCCTAATCCTCTTATATACCTAGATATCCTCTTTAATCCCTCCAAGTCTCCGTTAATTTATTAATTTTTGTAAAATTTTTTATTATTTTTTCTATACTCGTACAGAGGTACGAGTACGAATTTTAATACAAGCCTAAAACCATTAGTCATAGGTAAATTCAAAATACTGGTCTTAAATAAGAGCTTCTTAAACAATGACCTTTGTATACATGCTTCCTTCCCCATCTCCATTAAAATATTTTTGTAACATTTCATCTATATATTCCTTCAACCAATTATTTAATCTTTGCCAATCACCCATATCAAAATTACCCATAACTGGTTTAATATATTTTTTCATAAACAAAATAATTTTCTTTTCATCATTATCAGTGAGAGCATCACTTAAATTCAATTGGAAATATTCTTGCCAAAAATTAGAATTTATAGCAAGGATATATCCAAAATTTTCGATCGCAATTTGAATATATTTGGATTCCATAAATTCTGGAAGATGTTCAATTAACTGTTTTCTGATTCCATTATCGGAGCTAAGAAAATCTAATCCACATTTTCCATTTATTTTCATTGTCCGATCTTCCATCAGAATTCTTAAATAATTTTTTATTTAGTTATTGTTTATTACAGATTTAGCTTGTACTAGATATATTTTGCTAATATATTCTGGACAGGTAAGTCAACGACAACCGATGTACACTAAGTAATCAAGACAATAAGGGGTCATTAATTAAGATTTAATTGGAAATGGTAAAAAATTGAAACATTGAAAAAATAATCACAGTGGAAAAACCCCATATTTAATTTTGCTTAGCAATGATTAATTAAGAAATATACTATGCTTATTTAACATTTCATAATCGGTGCCGTCAGTTAACATTAACGAAAAGTGATTTCGTAAATGAGGTTTCGATTGAGGGTGTCGTTAAATTCCAAATATAATTGCGAAATTTCAAAACACTTTACAAACAGAGAATATATTTCTAGATAGTTAATATAATAAGTAAACTTGAAATAGTAAAATTTTTTAATTTAATTTTTAATAAAATTTTTAACTAACGGGATAAGTATTTCATCGACGATCCCAATTATTTGATTTTCGTTCGAATTTCGTTCCAATTTCATTCCCAAATGATCCAAGCTTTTCATAATATTCTCTGAACCCTCAATAAAATTTCCATTGAATTGGACAAATGGAATAGTTCCATAATGTGGAGAACCAAGCATAAAATGATTGTTGATTCTCTACAGGAAGGATTTAAATAATAATAATTAGATATGTATAATTATTAAAATTGAGTTTGTCAAATATTGAAATTTTTTATTCTAGATAATTACTACATATATTTTAAAAATAAAATAAAAACACAAACTTGACCTATCTCACCTAAGGAAAAAACAATTTGTGGAACAGACACGGATCCGGGTGAGTGACACGGACCCAATATGACAATTTTAGGTTTTCTACCTTTATACAGAGTATTTCTAATTTTTACGATTCAATACATCTGATCATATCCCATTTTTGAGGAGCCATACACAATTTGATGTTTTGAAAGTAGTAACTTTAGAGAAAAAACACGGACATGAAATTTATGAAATTAATTTGTTTAAAGGATTTTATTAGATTTAAAAATTACTAAACTTTAATAACTTACAAAAAACTGGACATTTTTAATTTTCAGCCAACTCTCGATTAACAAACATTTTATTGATAAACTTGGTAATGATTCGATTCTTGGGTATTGAACTAAATAAACAACGTCATTTTTCCAATTTTCAACCAAAAGCCTTGGTTTTCCTTCTTCGGCTTGTGGCAATTTCAACAGCCCTTAGATTAATTTAAATTAAAATTCAAAAATTCTTATAGTAACTCTATCTTCAAAAATTATTTTAATTAAATAATTTACATACCAAAAATTCCTTTTATTAAAAATATTAAGAAAAAATTTCGAAAAATCATTCTGAAAATTAAATATAGTAAAATAATAAATAAAAAACTTTGAGATAATAAAAAATAGATTTTTTAGAGCCCTAATAGCAAACAAAAAAACTAAACGGATCTTTTAAAAGCTAGATAAATATATTATTGTAAGACTGGTCATGTTTCCATCCAACCTAACAAATAAGGCAATAATGAAAAGGTTAGTCGGTGGTGGGATGATTGAAAGTTTTTTTGAAGGGTTTTAAAAAATATATTTCAATATATATTTTTTTAATTTTTTAAATGTTAAATTTTTAAATTATGTATGTAGCTATTTAAGAAATGTAAATTGAAAGGGCAAAAAATATTAATAAATAAGTCTGTAAATTATTTAAATTGCTTTTTAAATAAACTTTATAATTCAAGTGCAATGTACTTTTTTTTATTTACTTTTATTTTTGATGATGAAATTATTTCCGAATTAAAGATTTCATAATAAAATTATTTTTTTTAAAGAAATGACTTGGAATTTCTTGTGAAAATTCAAAGTAAATGAATAGAACTTTACTAAATGAATTATAATTGGACTGGCAAAAAATTAAAATCATAAGAATAAATCAGAGGATGGTCAGAATTCCAATTTCGGACGTTTTTTCCTTCCGATTTTTGAGTCCGAAATAAAATTTGAAACTAAACGGATCTAGTTTATATTTTTAATTATATTATTTTTTAATTTTATTTTATATAGATTTAATTTGATTTAAATTTTTTATTTGTATCTAATCTAAAGATAATGGAAGAGAATCTCGGTATTTTTTAATTAAAAAATTATTTTTATTCTATTTTTTCTTTTTTAAATTTAACTTTATTTTTAACCATAATTAAGTTTATTTACTTTTATCAACCCATTTAATTGCAAATTCAATTCCACACTTCATTTATAAGCAAATTTGGATTCATATGCGATCCATAAGCAAACTTGAATTCACACGCCCATTTATTCGCAAGCTTAGATACACGCACCCATTTATTCGAAAACTCGAAGTACACAACCAATCTATAGCAATCTTGAATGCAAGCAGCCCATTTATTCGCAAACTCGGATTCTAAGTTCGAACTTTTTTTAAATTTCGAAGTTTCTTTTAAATTTTTATATTTTAAAAATCCATAATTGACTAGGATATACAAATAGGCAACTCTTGTCGCCACGTAATGGTGTTAAAAAATGCTAACAAATATTGTCCATCACTCAGTGTTTGCTCGTTTGTTTTATTTTTTAAATTTATTTATAAATTAAAATAAAAGCTTTTCAATAAGACTTTTTAGCTCACACACCTATAAGAGATGAGAGAAGGAAATAAGGGCAACAAATAGGCGAATGCTGGCACAACACAATAGCAGCAACAACAACAACAAAAAATGATTTTAATACTTTTATTGATAATGAATTTAACTTTAAAAAAATTTTAAATTAGATTAAATTTTATAAATAATTTAACCGAATTTAGTATTTGTGGTCAGAAAGATTTTGACCAAAGCCAATATAAGATCTTATGTGGGACAGCTTGAGCAAAGATATTACGAGGCCTGGGAATGTTGTGAATTGTCATGGGAACTTGTCCTGCAAATAAATGGACTAGATTTTAATTTTTATTAGATTTTTAATTGTTTTAATTATTTTATTTTAATTATGTATCTCTTTATCTAAATCATTTATTTAATTCTATATATCTTTTTATTCTTTATTATCCAATTTATATAATATTATCAAAATCAATAAACAAGTTCTCCTAAAACTCATTTAATATATAAATAAATGGATAGTATATTTAAATTTAAAAATAAAATTTTATTCATTTTTACGTAAATAATTTTTTACGTTTTTTGATTATTAGAAATAAATTGCTAAAAAATGGTGAATGAAAAACTCCGCGATTATTTGTTTAGCTTTAAACATTGACAGATAATAGAATTTATTTAAAAATCAATTTTGCGTTGAGTATGTCACAGCTACTTTGCTAAACGTACTTAAGTAACAATACATATCTATAGATTTAATCTTTCTTAGATAGTTAATTAAGTAACCCCTTTCTTTCATGACCGACTAAGTCACATGATCTGTCACCCATTGAGAATATTTGGGCTGTATTGACTATGGAAGTTTACAAGAACGGAATGCAGTTTAACAATGTTAACGCTCTTAAACGAGTAAATAAGGAAAAATGGCAACAATTGGACCAAAATATAATTAAAAATCTGATTGGAACAATGAATAAAAGATTAATTGAGGTCATTAGTAAACATGTATTCATTACACATTATTAATTTGCTTTTTATCCAATTGTATTTGTTAATTTAACAAGGTGTGCTTTTTTTTATAAATTTTAGTAATATGTACAATAACTACCCTTAATTAATATATAATTGATTTAATTCAAGTCCCTTTTCTTCCTGAGATATATCGAATTGTCTGCCTGCAATGTGCTGCCGCATAAACTTTTGCACCTTACTGTATGATTTTTAGTAAAACTCAACGCGGAACATTCAATATTCATCCACATAAATTTTAGTTTATCTGAAATATCCAAAGCTGTATAAACATAAGTGGATGTTTCATTCATTCTTTCTAGCTTTTCAGCAATTTATTTCTAAATATTAGTTTAGAAAATTTAATTTTATCTCGTTGACTATGGTTAAATTATCCATCCATTTCAGTTTTAATGTCATTCTTTTTCTGCTTTTTAATTTGAAATATATTACATTGGTTATTAATAGGGTCCCGATTTTTATTGAAATAAAATCGCAATATATGACCATAAAATATTGAAATAAATTGGCAAAATATTGACAAAAAATGCCAAAAATTATTGAAATATTGAAATAATTTATTGCTTATTTAGGGGCATTAACACAAAAAAAAGAGAGAAAATAGTCATTTCAGGACAGAAAATTTAGGAAAAGGTACGTTGGGCAATTTCAAATGGACTTAATTTTGGATCCCACTTTAAATAAGCAAGAATTTTCCCTTCTCGGCGCCGAAGGCGAAAATTTTGAAAATTTTTGAGGTTAAACTGCCAAATTTTTTCAAATTTTTTTATTACAAAATTTTGGAAAAATTTGCAAAAATATTGAAATAATTTGTAAAAAGTGCCAAATATTGAAATAACGTGAAAATTGGTAAAATATTGAAATATATTGAAATACAACTTAGTTCAGAATAATAATATCGAAAAACTAATAGCATATTTGGGCTTCTCTCGACAAACTGTGCTTGCAAAAAAAGATTTATTTCATTAAAAATCCGGACTTTAGTTATAACTCATACTAATATAAAATTAACAAATACTAAATTACTTATTAAATTATTATTTAATTTTTGATATATCTTTAGCTATTTTAATAATTGTTGAAGAAAATGGAGAGAAAACTGGCTAATAAATGTCAAGTTTGTGATTCTTCTTTGAAAGTTTCACATCAATATAACGTTAATTGTTGTAATGTTTGTGCTGCATTTTTCAAGTTTTATAAATTTTTAAACAAAAAAAAACATTTAAATTTTAAAAAGGATATATTTAAAAAATAAAGAACAAAAATTTGAATGCAAGTGTAAAACAACTTTTGTGAAAATAAAACTAAGGTTGATAGACTGTGAGCGATGTTATCTTAATAAATGTCTTTCTGTGGGAATGAAAGAACCAGGTTGTTCTAAAAAATATACATCAATAAAACAACAAATAAATAAAAGTTGCGAAGAACAAAAGGTTAGAACTTTTGATTCGTTTTCGTAATAATAAAATATGTGGCAAAAATAGGGAAAAATGAGTTAAAACCAGTGTTCATAATTTCGTACCAAAATTCGTCTCGTCCTCGTACTTAGGTACGAAATACTAGTACGAGCAGAAAAATAGGCTGGTACGAAGTACGAGGCCAAAACTAAGCAAGTACGAAGTACGAGCAAAATTGAAATTTATGAACACTGGTTAAAACGTGGCAAAGGATAGAGAATATTTTAATCCTTTTAATTAAAATTTCAAAAAAAGGTTGAATAGCATATTTATTACTAGTTTTAATTGAATTGAACAAAACGAGATCAATAATAAAAAAAACTTAAGCCTGAATTAAAGTAAAAACATAATCGAGATTAACAGGGACAAGTGATTTATGTGCTTTTATTCAGTTTCTCTTTTTTTGTTCATACATAATCTTAACAACAATAAAAACTGTCCACAGTATGAAGAAAATATTGACAAATAGGGAATATCACAAATAGGGAATATCCTTCATAAATAGTGTATAGACACTCTGTGGGATAAATTTTATGTAATTTTGTAGATCGTTGCTATGATTGTCGATAAATCTGCTAAAGAATGCAATGAAATTAATTTTTTATTAAAAATCGCGGAGGATCAAAAAAGAATTTTGAATGCTTTTACTGATATAAATGATACTTTACTCAACGTTATTAGTTGCGAGGATATTATACTTTCAGGCTTTAATATTTTCAATCATATTGAGATGTTTTCGGTAAATTTGTATTAAAATTTAAAATATATCCTCAAACTTCAAGCCAAATCCTCGTCCTATTTCTCGAGAAGAGATGCTTAGCTGGGAATTAGACATTGAAAGAGAAGGATTTTATAATTATAGGACATATAAATGTATTCTTGTTGATCGACTGGTATGTGTTGCTATTGCAAAGTCAATGCCTGTATTCGAAAAGTTATCTATAACTGACAAAGTCCTCTGATTTATATGGAACAATTTTAACGATTTCTTTGCAGGTTGCACTTTGTCGGCACGTATCACACATATTTACATGCTTCACAAGTTCATTTATATCATGTGAGCTTGGAGTGGATACGAGGACACGTAAGGATTGTGTTATGCCTGCTCTTGGTGTTATTAAAAATAAAGATTTTATTCAGGATAAAAAGTAAGCTTTTCCATATTACAGTAGAAGTAAAAGAAACAACTTGTGACTAACAAATTTATATCTTATATGAAATAGGTTCCAGTTGATACTTATTTTGGAAGTAAAGCACCTATAAACCGATCTTAGTATATTTAAAAATGGACTTTATAAATTTCGAACGTTAAATAATTCGAGGTGAAATTAGAAATAATTTAAAAAATTTATTTGGGAGAGAATTATAATATACATATGTAGGCGAGAATAAATTAAATTTTATTTTTGTAGCATAATTATATTAAGAAAAAGTTTCTACGATGTACTTTAAATTGTGCATTAAGTCAATCTGAGCCTTGTAAGCTATTTAAATTGGTTGTATAATTAGGCAGCCCCCTCCTATCTTTTTATGTAAAATTTTTAAAACATTGTTAACATATAGTGGGGTCTTATTTTAATTTTTATTTCATTAAATTCGATCTAAATATATTTGTAAACAGATTGTTTTTCTTCGTCGACAGCATATTTACAAAGTCAATTATTCCATTCAAAAAAACAGCATTATCTAAAGAAGAATATGCACTTTTAATGGCTATCATATTTTCACATCAAAGTAACAATAATTATCTTGAAATTTAAAATAAAATTTTTTATTTATAAAGTTGTAAAAGGTCTATCATATCAAGGAAAAGAGTTGTTGTATGAAGAATATTTTCGATACACTAAAATGTTACTTGAATATACTCAAAATAAATTTGGAGTGATTGATGGTGCAAGACGATTGGATGCATGCATACTTTTAATAAATACATCAATACAAATAGATCAGGCACTTGAGGAAATGCATATCTATATGCATGAGAAATACCCTAATACAGTTCCCAATATTATTAAAAAAATTTTCGAATCCTAACATTAGTGATTGGATTTTTTGTAAAATAAAAATCTTATTTTATAAAAATTTTAATTTATTTTTATAATCAAAACCCCACATTTTTCAAATCACCCACGCCTAGCGGTGAGTCAATGGTCACTGGGCGGGTCCCGTCCCGAGCATCACCTCCGTCCCGAGCATCCTCCTGCCGTGATTGCCGAGGCGGGAGGACAAAATTTAAAAAATTTAGTTCAGAATCATTTCCTTAAGTAGGGAGGATTGAGTGGTGTAAGGCAGCTGGATGCTTAGGATTTGGCCTTACAAAATTATAGGGTATTTTTGGGAATTTGCATGTATTAATGGGATTTGGTTGATATTGGTGATTTCATTGTATGTATCAAGAGTATTATTGTATATCGATGATTTGATATCTAGGGATCTGGCATGTTAAGGATAACTCGAAGAAATTCGGGGATCAAAGTGGATATCATCTAATTTGTGGGCTATCAGGCATAACAGTGGATTTGGGTATTAAGAATATGGTTCGGTTAAACATTGGGGTAGGAAAAAGGCTGACCATTATTATTATTAATCTGAGACTCAAAATAGGGGGGGTGATATATCCATAAAGTACCAAATTTTCTTCATTTATTAGAAAAATGTTTTATAGTTACGGTTCCGGTTCCGGCCGGAACAAAGAAAAACTTCAGGTTCCGGCATCCGAACTCAAATTGGATCCGGTTCCGGTCAAAATTTCGGTTCCGGTGAGCCTTAATAATAACTTTATAAAATAACATAATACAATAAGATTTATTCAAAAAATTTTCTTTAAATCATATAATTTATTTGATTCCAACAATATTAGTCTTGCTACTGAAGAAATTGCAAATTTTTGGAAATTCTTTAATTAATGCCCCTCTATGATCACTACTATAATTTATAAAATATTTAAAAAAAATTTTATTTTTGCTAAATTTAACCTTGTAAATAAAAGTATAGGTATTTCTGCTGATGAAGTAATAGAGCTAAAATAATTAATTATAAATGTTAGAATCATTCTTGATTCATTGCTAATATTTTCAAGACGACCAACAATATTAAAACAAACAAAGGTTGTTGCCCAACAAACAATTTGTATTAAAATTATTAAAGCTAACGATTTAAATAGTGAATGGCGAATTGTTGTAACTTTAATAGAGAATAATTAAAGGGAAATAAGATTTAGTTAGACTGGATAACAGGACCAAAAACTCTTAAATTTGCTTAAAATGGGTTCGATTTAGTGAGTTCTTGATTATGTTGAGTCCCAACATTACAGGATAACTAACAATAAAAATTACCGACTCAGCGATCAAAAATTATGATTAATAAATTGGCGAAAAATGTTTGGTATCTCGTCTAATTCAAACAGAAATTGAAATCTCAAACCCTTATAGTACCTTTTTCATACCTGAATAAAACACTAATACCTCTATTTTATAATGAAAATCATTTTATATAATTAGATAAAATCAAATCTGATTACTTAAAAAATTTTTTTGGCTCTGCTCCAGTTTATGCGTTCAATGAAAGTTTATGCGTCTAATCAAAAAATAAGATTTTTCTTAGCATTGCAAAGTTGGGGTATGGTACCAAAACATTTCTTCATGTTCTGGACCTACGCCCATTGGATCTGGGTCCATTCCTTGCACTTTCCCTCGAATTTTCGATAAAATATCGAGAAATATGGATTGATAACTCAAATACGACCTTATCGAAATATGCTATAACAACGTTTCTCATGCGTTTCAAAATCCAACTAGGCCAGGAAAAAAATATGGAAATCCATATAAATCCCATCTCCAGTAGTAATATTTAATCTTTTATAATTAAGATCCATTGTATTTAAAATATAAAATTAAAATATTTACATTGTTCATCTTTTCGCATAGCAAACAGTTTGGCAATAATAAAAACATAACAGCCAAAGGTCAACGAAATAAAGGCAAAATCAAAGAAAACGAGACAAAAACAATGAGTAAAAAAGGAAACCATTTCGTCAATTAATTGTCCAGTAGTAATATTTAGACTTTCATTTGCCCCCATTTTTGGCATTAAAACATAATTGCTAACTTGGAATGTTACAAATAAAATATATAAAGAGCTAATAAATGAAGCAATGAAGAAATATATTTTGCTGTTTCTTTTCATATACCTTTAAATTATTTAAAAATTATATGTACTACAAGAGATGTTATACAAAAAATATTTTGGTTAACTTTGTTTTCGTAAAAGGCCTCATTGAATGAAGTATTGAAGTCCTCCAACCTTCTGTCAGCTTTCTCTCACCACGTACAGGTGCTCTACAGACTGAGCTACCGGTACACTGCTATCACCTTCTCTTTTAATATGTATGTAGATCTTAAATCCCCACCTAGATCTTTCTTTTCCTTATAGGAGTTACTCGAACATTTTCTAAAAGATTAGAATCCAAACCCAGAGCTTAAGTCATTTGTGTACGATTATAATCATTTTTTTATTTCTTATAATTATATTATTTATTTGAATGTTTATTAATTTCCTCACCAGACAGGTATAAGGATACTCAAAAGTCTATCAATCCCAATAGCTAACATAAAAGGGAAAATTCCATGCATTATAGCGGCTGCAGGTAAATAAATAAATCCACAGATAAATGCTGGAATTCCAGAAATTTCAAGAGATGCCGATAAAATTGTATTAAATTTTGTGAAAAATCCACATAGGCAATAAACCCCAATTAAACAATGGCAATTACTTACATATAAATTCCTTAAATATGTAAAGAATTAAATTTATTTATCAATTAGTAAAAAAATTTTAGTCTACGACGTTATATTTTCAGAAATTTTACTTATGGAGCTGCTAATAAAGTTAATTATTGGCCTGTTAGGCTGAAATTTCTGTTCATTTTATAAGATTCCAGCCTCGAAAGGGAGGTCGAATCTAACCCCTAACGATTTTTTAAGAGGAGTCACCACCCCAATAGGGATGTTCCCGACGGGGGGCCACGGGGAACAATTTTCGGGAAGGCAACGCCACGGGGGGAGAGGGTGGGGGGGGGGGGGGGGGGAGGAGGGGTATCTCTCAAATTCCCCGACTTTCGGGGACGGGGATTAATCCTAAACACAACATTCACTCTTATGCTAACAATTTTTGACAAGCATTATTTTTAATAATTGAAAAAAAATTTTTAATGAATATACTTACTTGCTTCTTAAAGTTAAAAATACTACAACTCCAAAAAGTATAACTCCAATACTGTCTAAAATTAAATTAACAATTTCCATAATAATTAAAGTTAAAGAATCATTGTTCAACATTTTAATTTTATTTTATCTTGGAATATTATTAATGATTAAAGAGCTAAATGTGATTTCTGTCAGGTTGTTGGGATCGGTTATTAACCAGTAACCCCGATTTTCGGTTAATCCAGATTTTGAAATTTGGTTCTCGTTTATATGTTGAGTTAAAAAATAGTAAAACGTCTAAATTTTTATGTTTTCAATGCCCAATAAATATGTAGTTTTTATAGGAAATTTATAAACACAATTGAATATACCTATAAAATCTTATCCCCTTGCATTGGCACAAAATTTTAACCAACGAGGATTTAGCTTCATAATTTAGCTAGCCGGTCTTAGTAAGCTCGAAGAGCTCTTTCGCATTTTAAAAATCCTTATTGTATATTAAACAAAAAAAGCTCAAAATGGTCAGGGAAACTGGAAAAAAGGGGCGATTTTCAAACTATAACCATTTCACTCGATAGGTTTCTATCGAGATAATTTTCAAAATGTGTTTTAAGAAATTATAAAACCATTTGAAAAACTTTTAATTTTATATTAGAAATGCTTGAAAATTTTATTATAGGTTGCGGAAATAAAAATTTTTCATAAAACTAAAAATACTTGCTAAATTAAATTTATAATTTATGGCAAATTAAATTTAGAATAATTTAAATAAACTAAATTAATTTACATAAAAAAGGCTAAAAAAGAAATAGCTAATAAAAGGAAATAAATAAAGGTTGGGCAATAATTAATTGCTTTTATGGCACAAATTGGAGCAGAAAATAGTAACTAATTATTAGATTAATGTTGGAAAACAAAATGTTACCAAAAAACTACTTGATAATATATAATTAGAACAATAATTATTTTTATTTTTTATTGTTATTGCCTTGTTTTTAATATTATTTTTGTTTACAAATGTCATTTGTGCTTAAGCTAATTATTTAAATTAGAGATTAATAGTATGTAATAAAGTAGAATTATTTTTATAATTATTTATGTATTTAAAAATGTTCTTCTTAATATCAAAAAAATCACGACGTTGAAATGATATCAAGAGAAATCCCTCACAGAGATGACGAGTGATTTGGACACAACTTGAACAAAAAATAATCAACAAGAAAATTTTGATGAAGTTGAAAGTAAAGAAATAAAATAAAATTAAATAAAATTAAAGAAAAAAGAAAAATTTTGGGTTAGCTGTAATGAAGTAACACTCATCGAATTTGATTGACACTTGTTTTTGGCACATTCCAATATCTTATTGGAAGTTACCTATTCACAAAAAAGGCTAGAGACTTGACAGAAAGTGTCTTACGTCGTGCATTGCAACACTTGCATCATTCAAATTGCACTTTCTTCAACATCATTAGAGTGATCATTAGATTTTGGAAATAACCGAAGTGAACTAGAGATTACTAAACCATTTTAATTATTTTATATATTTAATTAATGGAATTTTGTGGATAATTGATGGAGAAATCTATCAGATGTTATTTTAATTCAGAATTTTATTCGATACATTTTTATTCTAACATATACATAAGTATAAATTTGTTTCTAAAAGAAAATCTATAATTGAGTTGGCAAAAATTATAGCAAATTCTATAACTATTTATTTAATCACCTATTCATTTTGTATTTAATTGCTTCTTCAAAAATATTTTTTCTATTTGTTTAAGCAATTTTTTATTCAAAAATCAATTTTAAATATAAATTTTAGAAGGCTTTAAATGAAATTTTAATTTTTAATTAAATTTTCTTACCCTAAAAAATATTTTTTGCCAATTCTGGGTCTCGGAAAAACTTATTTCATTTAAGACCCGTGCCTTAATTCATCTTCTATCATTCATTTTTTGGATAGTTATTAATTATTTTTTATCAAATAAATTGACAAAATAAATTAAAAATATGGGCAAAAATAAAATAGTTGCTTTATTGTTTTTTGTAATTACTATTTATTTTGGTAAGTAAATAAAGCTTGATATAACGGTATCTTACTAGTGTAAGGAAGAGAAAGATCCAGCTGGCTAGCATTGAAAACGTTTAGGCGGGGGTCTATTAAAAGAGAAAATGAAGCTGGTAGAGCACCTGTACGTGGTGAGCGAAAGCGCCTAGCAATAACTGCCAGGAGGTCGCAGGATTTAAGCCTGCCCGGGATTAATCTTATACCTCGCTCTTACTCTAGCTGGCAGGATTGATTTGCTCCGAACATACTTCATAAAGTTATAGCCGAATAAAAATCAGTAATCACGATTGAGCACACTTATCCAGATGTAATATTTTTAGGATGATGTGACTAGATCAAGCTAAAAAATAATCTTCACATCCATAGCTTTAGAATAATATAGAAATTATCTTAGTAGGTTTTGAATTAAAAGAGTTAGAGTCCAAAATATGTATTGGTCATAAATCTATGTTAAATTATAAAATTAAGTTTTCAAATTCTTTGATTTTCCTGAATATTTGACTGCAACAAAATATTCAGCAAAATATAATGGTACAAGAAAATTTTACAATGAAATTGAAGAATGGCAAAAACAAAAACATTTAAATTTAAAATATGTAAATTTGTCAAAATTGGAAATTTGGAGAAAACAAAAAAATACAAAATTCATTTTATTAGAAATAACTGAAGATCATTTTCACGGATCTTGTGGACGTCTTGCTAATCAAGTAAATAAGCATTTTATATTGAAGCAGAGAGGATGGGGCTATAATTCTATAAGAAAACACTGGAATGATTATACGCCAAAACATACGGAAAAGATAAATCGGAATTTGAAATTGAGTTAGAAGCGAAACCTAGAATTCAAAAAATTCGATCTTACAAAAAATTCATAAAATTTTAAATTTGAACCAATTTCGAGGGAAATTGGTGGATTTGGAGCGATTGATGGGATATCGGTTGATTTCGGCAGAATAATGGGGAAAAGGGATTATGAGGTATATCAAGGATAAATTAAGAGACAAAGTAGAGAATGTCAGATTCGAGTTCAAAAAAATTTGAAATTGAGTTCAAAGCTTTGGGGTTATACGAGGTTTGGATCTAATCCTACTTTATAACTTCAAATATATTAAATATTTATTAGATGTGGACTTTTGCAATATTTTATGTATGGGGAATACAAACTCAACGTTATCCTGGATATTTTAACAACTCTAAATTTTCTTGTGATTCTTTTAACAATACTCCAAGTGAAATGGAAGAAACATTTCCTATCGCTCACAGAATTTTTGCTTCTTTTAAGGTGCCGTTTATGGGTTTTCTAAAGTAGTTTTAAAAATTGTTTTTGTTAAAGCCAGAAGAAGTTGAAGGCGATACAATATTTAAAAAGAATTTCAGTAAAAATGAAGTAATTGAAGCTAAAGAAAAATATTTAAGAATTCATTACCCTCCTCAAATACATGATTTATTTAAGGATGTAAAAAATCAAATTAAGGAATTATATTTATTTTCAACAAAGATTAGAACTATTGTTGACAAATATATTGATGAAATATTTGGGTATGTTATAAACTAAATTTTCATCCTCTAAAGATTTGGGTGTATTCTTGTCCTCTAATTGGTTTTGTATCTATTTTATAGCAAATTTTATACAAAATTTATAAACAGGCGAATATTAACAAAAAAATTACTAATTATGAAATTATTTCCGTCTTTTAAAGGCTGAAAGTCATGTATAATTTACAATATTAAAAAAATTGACAAAAATATAAGTGGCTCAATGTCACGAAAAGATAAGCTAAATTCCTCAAAAATATAAATGATCAAAAAATTGTCATCATTTTAGTTAGGCGATTATTGACTCCAACATTTTTCTAACCTAGGCTCCGGTCGTAGCCGACTCTGGGACTAACACCCAGATACATTACCACCCAACCCTGGCGATATATGAAAAATACCTAAATTTCATTTAATAAAAGCCTTTTAGAATTTTAAAATAAATTGCAGAAATGATCTTTCACATAAATTATGTGTATATACAAGATTAGGCGATTTTGGTCCTCCTAAGAACCCTAGACATCATCCATCAAGAAAAGATTTTACTGAAGAATCAACAAAATATGTTTTTAATGAAATAAAGGTATTTAATTGTAAAGGTATTTAAACAAATAATTGAAAATAATATTTTTTAAAAATAAATTATTAAATATATTGATATAATTATTTAAAATTTTAGAAAAAAATACACAGTGATGAGATTACATTAATTCTACTTGGAGCAGATAAAAAGTTTTTGACAAATTTAAATTTTGATGGAATTAAGGTAAAAATTGGTTAATGCCAGTTTGCAGTCTTTATATCTGTAGAAGGCATTCTTTAAAAAATTCTAAAATTTCTTTCCTGTCTACGACGACATTCTTCATTTATTCATCTGTTTCCGTAGATAATGTTTTTACACTACAAAAAATCTTGTCATTACAATCCTTCCCTACATCATCGCTTAATTCTCCTTTGGTTCTCAAAATTACGCCAAAC